CAACAGTAGGAAAAAGAAAAGAAAAATAAATATTTTTAAAGAAAAATGAAAGAAATGTCTTCACTGAGGTATTAACAAGGATGGATGGTCACTGCTTGTACCCAATTGTCCTTCTTTCCATTTCTTCTTGGGTTATGCACTAAGGAAGGGGAAGCACAAGGGCCAGAGAGTGTTAATTTCTTCCTCTCTTTGTGTTGGAGCCTAAAAACTGAAATTGGTTGAAATAGCTTTCAGCTTCCCCTTCTCACCAGGGTAAGAATGGAATGGGAAGTACTATTGCTTAGAGTTTTGTCAAGACAAACCAGATCAATGGACTCCCCTGGTGGGATTGCTGGGGAGTTCTAAGATGGGAATTCTGGTGGCTGAGGCTTACCTCAACTCAGGCTTTAGGGACTTTATTGAGTGAGAACTGCTCTGGAGAGATTAGATCAACACACCCCTAAGGAAAAGGAGATGAAGATCTCTGCTCAGAGTCTGGATCTCAGGAACCTCCAAGAATTCTACTCACAGGGCAGGGGAGACAACTCTCCACAGGCCTTACACACCCTCCTGCCCAAGAAAATACAACTTTCTCAGGCTTTACACCAGGAGTGTATTCACACTGGCTTGTTCCGTTTCTAGATCCTCTTCAGCTGGTCATAACAGCCACCAGGCTCGAGGAAAAGCAGGTTGTACTCCCCTCTATTTTTCTGCCTTGAATTCCCACCCCCACCCCAAGTACAATCTATGTCCCTGTTTTAATCATGTTCTGCTAGGCAGACCCGAGGCCCCATCACAGGAGCTTCTCAGGACAGTATATTTGCTAGTATCTCCCAGGTTTCTGCAGCAGCAAGCTGCAGTGTGGCCTCCTCAGGATGCTCCTGCCTCAGCTCTCCACTTTCCAGTTAAGAAACACAGAGAACTTCACAAACACTTAACCATGCGGCCTCTGGATCAGCTAAGTGCAGGCTGATTTTCTGATCTACATGTTTTTCTGAACTAGGTTTGTCTATTGTGTTTCTCTCTGTTTATATTGCTCCTCCCCTCTGTGGTGAACCAGCTTTGCCTCTGCTGCCTCAATTGGTTTGTCTCTGATGTACGCTTTCTTGTTCTCCATGTAATGCATCTGAATTTGTGAGTCTCTAAATCTGTCTGATATTGAATTTCAGTGAATTCCTTCTTTCACCCACCTTGATGAGAAACACTATCCCCACTGCTTGAATTCCAAACCACAGAGCAACTGGAAATGCAGTCTTCCTCTGATCTGCCCTCTTGAATGGCTCTGTTTTGAGGGTTTCTATTGAGAGCTCTTCAAGCTCAGAGTTTCTTTCCTCAGCACCCTGTCCAGTCAATTAATAAGCCCTTCAAAGACATTCTTCACTTCTGTTACAGTATTTTTATTTTTATCTCTGGCATTTCTTTTTTTTTTTCTTAGAATTTTCATCTTTTTGTTTACAATGACCATCTGCTCTTGTAACTGACTATTTTGTTCATTAAAACTGTTAGCATTTTAATTATAGCTTTTTAAATTCACAGTCTGATAATTCCAACATCCCTGCCATCTGAGTTTCATTCTGACTCTCACTGTATCTTCAATCTGTATTTTATGCCTTTTAATTTTTTTTCTTGATAGTAAGACTTGATGTACTGTGTAAAATAAATTGCTATAAGTAGACTTTTAGTAATGTGATTTTTGAGGGAGTAGAGAAGGCTTTTCAATGTCCTAGATTAGGTTTCAGACTTTGATTTGGTGCCTCTGGACTGTGGACTTTACGAGTTCTTCTTAGTCCATACTCTTAAATGAAATTGCATGGCTAGAGTGGGCTGAATTGAGTACTTCCATTTTCCAAGGTAAATTATATTCTGATAAAAACCCAGAATGTTAGACTGTGGCTAAATAGTTTCTCTTAAGAGCCAAGCTTGTTAAGAAGAATAGAATGCTCTAGTGTATTTTGAAACAATTCCTTTTCCCTTCTTCCTGCTGGCAACACAAGGAGATGTGCTAAGATCTTCACTGTGAGAACCAGGTCAAGTTCCTAGAGAGAAAACTCAGAATTAAGTGTGGGAGCTCCCCCAACTAAATGCCCCTGGAGTTTTTAACTCTCAGAGTAATCCATGAAGTATCTAGCAATTCATCAGTTCTAGTTCAGAATTCCTTACCCTTGGCACTAGTTCCCACAAGGTTTTTTGCTTTTGGATTTTTTCCTCCAGTAAATTGCAATTCTCTACTTTTACCATCTTTCTTTCCAGTTTGAGGGGATGAGACCTCATTTTTCTTATAGATCTAAAAAGAGTTGAGTCTTCCATTTGCTTTTTACTTACTGAAACTGGTTGAAATGGCTTTCAGCTTCCCTTTTCACCAGTATAAGGTAGAATGGAATAGGAAGTACTATTGATTGGAGTTTTATTCAGACAGACCAGATCAATGGACTTCTAAGGTGGGAGTCTTTTTATTCACTATTAGGGAAGAATGGTACCTTTCAAGCTTCTAAAATGCTGGGTCAGAAACCATAAGTCCCATAAACATTTTAAATCTCTTAGTATTCTTATAGTGAAAAGTGAATTATTTCACCAAAATATGAAGTAAGCCTATTTATTAATTCTTACATTTTTTCAACTTACATATTTTAAAACAATATATTTAAGCACAGGAAGGTTATTTTATTCATTTTTGTTACTCTCTAAGAGAGATTAATGTTTAATTGAGAAAGACACCTGAACCTTAATGGCAAGGAGAATTTGATTAAAAAGAAAAAACTCAAATTGCTTGAGATTTGAATGTCACTGGAGATGATGCAATGCAGTTTTTGTTTCTGTTTGTTGGTTTTCAGCTTTTTTAAAGTTTACTTTTACTCCCAGTAGAAAATATTTAGTTCTGCTTTAATATGATACATACATTCCTATAAATAATTCCATAAATTCAAAGAGGTCATGGGAAAAGTAGGACTAGAGGAACACACTAAAAATTTCATCAGTGACAACTTAAAAAAAAGATAAAAAGTTGGGGTTACAGCTCAATGGTAGAGCACTTGCCTAGCATGCATGAGGCCCTGGATTTAATTCCTAGCAGAACAGAAAAGGAGAGAAAGAAAAAAGGGAGGAGAAAGAGAGAAAGAGAAAGAGAGAGAGAGAGAGAGAGAGAGAGAGAGAGAGAAACTTAAGTAAAAATGGCAACACCAATTTACACATATTAAATGGCACTATATATTACCCCAACATATTAGCACATAACACTTCAATATATAATGCATACTACATCATACTACAACAAATATAGCACTTTACCTTGAAAAATAACTGGGACTTTATGAAATGCTTTTACACACCACTGGGAAGCTGAAAATATCAGTAAAGTAGAAAAAAGACAGAAATAAGAGAAATTTTGTGACTGAAAAGAGAAAAAAAACAGAGACAATTCAAGTCAGAGGTTTCCCACATCTAAAGTTGACTCTGCAACCCAAGCTGTGCAAACACACAGAGGTAATTTGTGACCAGGGCAAACCTAAAGACTGATAGGTTTGGAACACAGTTGACAGCATAACAAAGTGACTAGAAGGACAGTCCTAGAGGAGGAGACAAGCTGATTGTGACTTTCTTACCTGGAAAAGGCTGCATAACTGAACTGTAAGCCAAGATACATTTACTCCTTCGGGCCTCCACCAGGGAGAGGATGGCCCCAGTTCTTTTCTTTGCTTGATAAATCTGGGTGTTTTCTTTTGTTGTGATGATCCAATATATAAATTCCCCACCCACAGTTAGGCTAGCCAGTGTCTTTTCTGCTGAATAAAAATATGAAAAACAAATCATACCTCTTTAGTTTTCTACTCTCAACTTTTCCTGTTAAGTGCTAAGTTTTGAGTCTTTCTATTTCTCAATATTAAAAAAAAAATACTTCTATACTACTTGGCTAAATGACGTATTCTCTCATTTTAGCTCCACATAAAGTCAATAAATAAGGTAAATTCTATTATTATCAGCTTCATTTTGTGAAAATGTATACTGAGATTTGTAGGACTTAAATAATATACTCAGGGCCATAGTTAATTAAGATCAGAGCCAGGATTTAAAACCATTTATGCTACACCAAGTCGAACAATAGCAATCTGTAACAGTAATAGGCCCAAGGCTCAGTGCTTTACTCAATGTTTTTATCCATAGTTTGGAATGAATGCATGATAAACATATTAAAGATATTTGCAGATAATACACAATTATCACTGTCACCAGCAGGTTCAGTTACTACCTTGAAATTCTAAAGTATCACAACAGCATCAGGAAATGAATTGAAATGTAGTAGACACAAACATAAAATCCTAAATTCAAGTTTAAAATAAACCCTATAAATTAACAAATAAAAGAGACCTGGTTTACTAACAGTTTATGTGAAAAAAAAACTATCAGTTTTTTAAACAGTAGAAAACTCAAAGATTTGATGCTACTTTTATCTTCAGTAAAAAGACCTAGGAAGTCAGAGTCCCCCTGCACTGATCGGGACATGTTAAAAGGACAACATATTATTATGGGGGTGACATTTAATTAACTGGAGTTAAACAACAAGAAGATAACTAAGGCAAAGAAAGTCCTAGAAGCTACGTCACTGAAGAGTAGTTATAGATACATACATTTTTCTTCTAAAGAAAATGTTTAGAATGGACTATGACACCATCTCTACATAGTTAAATGGCAATCAAGTAAAAAGTGACTAATTTATTTTTTATAAATTTATAGATTAAAATCAGTGAAGAAATGGAGAAAAGATTTTGGCTAAATATCAAGAAAAAAATCTAATTTCAGAATTGTTCCAAAATAGATTTTCTTATAAAGTAGTAATTATTTTATAAACCTGTGTTCAGTAAAGGTTTTTTTTTTTTTTATGGAGGGGCTTTCTTTCAACATGACAGCTAAATAATCTCTAAAGGCATCTAATTTTCTAATTTTAGGATTATGGATTCTAATCGTGAATTTACGAAAGACTGTTCTTTATCTATACCATAAGGGCTCACTGGATAATCCTCGTGTATCTGATTTTAGAGAAAAGATTTTTCTGACACCTATTAAAATAAGAAACACATTTTTAAGACTAGCACAATATTGTAATAGAGAAGACAGATGTTGCAATACAACAAAGATAGGTAGGGATTTATAGCCAACTAGAACGAGAGAGTTAGTGGGTGGAAAATTACTGAGGAGATATCAAGGGTAAGACGATTCTTGATACACTAGCCTAACAGGATTCTTGCTAAAGATCAGCCGGGCCTATATATCAAGAGTAGGGATGAAGAACTTGATCAGATATCAAGAGTAGGGTTTTCTCTAAACTAATTTGGTAGGATTTTTGCTAAAGGTGGACTTGCTAAACTACGGACATGTAAGGTCAAGGTAGAGGTGTGGGAAAAAAAGTGCTCAAAGTAGTGTAACTCCTTTGATCAAAGAAAGAGTCTGTCACAAAAAACAGAGACAAGAGGAGAAATTCAAAACATCATCTCTACTTTTAATCCTACCGAGAGTATATAGAATTGTTTCTAAAAGACTCCAGGAGACATGTCTATAAAACCAAATGTACAATAACAACACCCACCACACACACACGTTTTTAATGTCAAAACTTAACTTTATATTCCAGTATTATCCAAGAGAACTTTCCAGTGACAATGGAAAGGTTTTATGCCCACATTGTCCAGTAGAGTGACCACTAACCATTTCTGGCTTTTGAAGCACTTGAAATGTGGGTAGTAGAACTAAGAGAGTAAATAGTTAATTTCTTAAATTTTAATTCATTTAAATTTAAATCATCACATGTCACCTGTGATTTCTATATTGGACAATGAAGAGAAGACTGTTAACAGCATATGGGCTAGAGTCTATTTTTTTCTGATGGAGTTACTCCTAATTAGGAGACTTCCCAAATCATTTTAGACTTTCAAACATTTCCTCTGTAAGTCTGAATTTTCAATAGATAGATGCTGCATATTGACCGACTCATACTGAAAGTGGAATCAAAGGGGAAATAGAGTAGGGTGCTGGTAAGACCATCTCTGTTGGCCCTGTTTTGACTTCTCTATTAACTGTGACCCTGGAACTTCCTTTCTCAGCCTAAGTTTTCTCATCTGTAAAATGAAGATACCAGTTCCTACCTCACCTAAGAATTAGAAGATTAAATGGGGCATGCATTTAGTAGCATGCTTAGAATATATAGTTAAGTTTGTTAAATTTTAAGTCTATTGTTAATTACAGATCTTTTTAAAACACTGATTTAGAAAATTATGTGAACGTCTACATACAATTTGCCTGTATACAACTTGATTTGAATTCTACAACAGTTGGCATAATCCAGAGCAAATACCATAAGCATATTCCTTTAAGTATATGTGGAATTCAAGCCCTTCTTAATGGGACAGGAAGAGTTCCTGCTACTGGTGAAGATCTATGTGCACACGTAAGCATATTACCAAGGATGGCAGGAACCATGACAATCCTCCAACACTGACATCCTTCCAGATCCATGGCCCAGATCTCTTGCCCTTTAGCAAAGTATATTCGTGGCTTTTCTAGTTTAGAGGTATCAATAGTCATCACTCCACTTAACTCAAATTCAGTCACATTACAGGAACATTGACTTCTTCCATTTTGTTTGTTTGTGGCTGCGGGTTGCAGAATGCGGTGCAAGGTGTGATTGATAATACTGTAGTAGAACATCTGAGAGCCCAAATCGGAAACTTCTGTCCAATACAAGCGACTACAGAGGGGAAAAAAAAAAGTCCCTCCAACTTAATAAGCAAAGTATATCATTTCAAATAGTAGATTCTAATGAAGATCAACCATTTGTATAATTGGAGGACAAATGCAGCCTTAGGAGAGAGCATGTCCAAGAGTCTAATAATGTTATGAGCTGGGGAAGACACAAGAAGTCCAACTCATACCATTTTCTAATGATTTTTCAACTAGTGTATTTACAACTAAAGCCTTGGTGCATAATTAACTTAGATACTTATAGTCTAAGTGACTTACATATCATTAATGGCTGTAAATTTTCTAATGTTTAATTATACCCATCTCCATTATTTTCTTCATTTGTTCCTATTCTTAACACAAGTATCCTGGTGAACAATCTGGTTTCAGAAGAGCCTAAACTTATTAGGGAACAAATAAAAATATGTCTTTCCAGCCTGGTAAATTGCTATTCAGTTGCTTAGTAGAGACCTTAAAATTCATTTGATGAAGACATTAATTAAGCCAAGATGGCTGAGCCCAGGGTAGCTTTTGCTATGCAACACCTGTTGTACACCTGTTCCTTATCATCTATCACTGTCTCAGTCCTCTTTTTGTCCTTACCAACTTATGATATTATTAGATCCATTAGTACAAAATTCTACTATTGGTTTCCTCCTGGTAATTAGCCTAATTTTAGGTTAGTCAAGTTTTCTGTATGGATAAAAATTACATATTTGTGGTTATGAGCTCATATGCAAAATTATGGACTCTAAGTTAATATAGTGAACAAAGAATGCTAAACATCTCGTTTTTTAATATTAAGCCAAAAAACATTACATTAAATATGTTGACATTGGTTTCATCACAACAGAAAAAGATAGGATAATATACCTTAAAAGAGGAGATACAGAAAAAGAAATTATTGTTGAATTCCTTTTGCAATTCTTCAGCTCCCTGGGATACTTCACCTTGTGTTCAAGATCCATATCAAATATTTGGATTCCATCTTGTGATTCTTTCACAAAGTAGAGATGTCTTGAAATCCAGTCAATTGTGATAACTGTGATATCAGAAACCAGTGCATCTCGGAAAAGCTTAAAGTTAGGTAAAGAACACAGCCAAAAAGATATTGTTAATTTTTTTAATATGAAGTCTTTTCTGTAATTATCCATATCACTTATTTACTGCACTTCTCCTTTGTCATCCAAAGTCTCAATAATTCTGGATTGTGTAGCATTGTAACATGAGCCATCCTCTTATATTGTGTATTTTTCCTAGGTAATTTCAACTATCTTGACTTCAACTACTATCCACAGACCAATGCTAAAAATTCACATTTTCAGCCAAGATCCCTTACCAATTCAAATATCAAACTACCTACTGAACACCTCTACATGGATGACCACATAAAACAGAATTTATTGCCATACCCCAAAATCTCCTTTTCTCTTGCCCTTTATATATTTATGGATTTCCAATATTCACCCGAGGAACCAAATAGGACAAACGTGGTTCCCCTTCACTTTTTTTTTTTTTTCCCTCACAAATCTATACACAGTGAACTAATCTTACTTTAAATATCTCCCAAATGTGTCTCCACCTTTCTCAATTCACTGCCTGGCTAACTCAAGCCCAACATTTCCTGCCTGAATTTCTGAGATTCCTTCCTAATTGTCTCAGTTTTACCTCTCCAAGTCATGACATACACTGCTGACAAAGAGGTCTTTCTAAAATATAACTCGACCAAGTTTATGACCCATGAAATTTCTTTGATGGCTTCTTGCTGGCTGCCAGCTTGATACCAGACTCTTTAGCACGGTAAAGGAGGTTCATAATGCTTGGGCTCCTGCCTGCCTCTCCAGCTTTGCCGCCTGTTTACTTTCCCTCCACTGTCACCCCCTACCTGCATGTTCCTTCTATTTGTAGCTCCTGAGCATGCTCCTTGGAATGCCTTGGCACTTGCTTCTCTCTCTGCTTTTCTCTACCTTCCCTTGGCTCATCTTCCTTGTGCCCAACATGTTTTTCCATTCTACCCACACCACCACCACCACCTCAGCCTGGATTGACGCTCATTTCTGTGATGCTTGTATATTCTGATCACAACCTACCAGTTACACTAGTCTGATTTCTATATTAGCTAATTATTTAGTGAATGCCTACCACATTCCAGGCATTGTGCTGTGTTTTAATAGATTCTCTCATTTAATCTTCATGGGAACCCTATGATGAAGCACTATTTAATCACAGAAGTTAAATAACTTGTTGTTAGTCACAGAAGGGAACCAGAAATAAATTCCGGCTAGTCAGATCCCAAAACTTGCCCTCTTAATTACTGTGTAGCAATGGCTTCCTGATGTCAGACTAATACTAGACCAGTTTTGTTAGGAGCAAAGCCTGTAATTTTTTTAATCCCTCCCTATAGTTTGGATCTGGAATGTCACCCAAAAACCCATGCATTAAAGACTTGGTCCCAATTCACAGTGCCATTGGGAACTAATGGAATCTTTATGAAAGAAAAGGGGACTAGTAGCAGGTCTTTAGGTCACTGGGAGAGCATGCTCTCAAAAGGGACTGTGGGACCCTAGTCTCTTCCTCATTACTTCTTTTGGCCAGGAGGTGAGCTGACTTTGATCTACCACATACACTCCAACATGATGTGCTGCCTCACCACAGGTCCAAAAGCAGGGGTTTGGAGGGGAATGTTGTGGAGAGGGCAAATGACCATGGACTGAAATATCCAAAACGTGAGCCAAAATAGGTCTTTTGACTTTATCAGTTGATTACCTTAAGTATTTGTTCCCGTTTCAGAAAGCTAACACACTTCTCTGTCCTCAGATTCTAACATAACACCTTAAACACAGTAACCAAAAATTAATCCTGAATGACATTTGCCCAAATCTATAGTCTTTGTAGCTAAATAATTATACAGTATCTGTCCTTTTCAGTCACTCTAATCCTAGTAGCTCAACCACTGGCCATTTATTTTAATTATAAGGTAATATGATATGTAAATAGTCCACTTCCTTCATTTCAAAAGAATTACAGAGCAATGTACTTCAGAGCTGGAACGATTCTGCAAATTCAGGAGGAAGAGTGAGTCTCCTTGAACATAATAACCCATCTCGTTATCGGCTGTGTAGCCTACGGCACTGATGTTTCCTTCTGCTGAAAATGTCCACACAACTTGATTTTGATCCATATCTAAAAGCACTAGCTTATTGCCAAGAAGAGTTATGAGGTAAGGAAATGGGTTGATTTCTGAAAATGAAAAACAAATAGATGTATGAGAAAATCATGTATGAGAAAATCAGATCAGCAAAGTCTCTTGAGCCAGTCTCAGGCGGTTTTTAAATCCACTGGCCTCTTTTGGGTTCATCTAATAGTTTCAATGAAAACTTTTAAGCCTTCTAACCCTAGATTCTTCAAAGATATTTTGGTGATGAGAAAATTGATTATTTTATTTCACCTCAACTTCAGAATTGCTGTTCATATCTCTAAAGATATCCATGGGGTAAGGGTGCTTTAAATTGTTACACAGATTTAGATAACAAATACCTGATGTATAAGACTTTACTATGTCAGAAAATGGTCCAGGTCCTTTAGATGTGAAAACTCGAACCTAAAGGAAAGAAAAGGAAACAAATGGATACATTCAATAGTGTTGTCTGTGGGAATAAATAACTTCTGAGGCTGACAAATTATTGAATGTCTTATTTTCACTCCTGATACATGATATCAATAATTTTAAATAGCTGCTTAAGCCTAAGTATATGGCAATAAATAAATATATGGTCCCATACTTACGTTGCTGGGTTTTTTATTTCTTAGTTTTTTGTCTTGTTTTGTTTGGGGGTATAGAAAAGTTCAAAAAATAGCATAATTTCTATTGCAAAGAAAGAAAAAGAAAAACTAATTTCTGAAAACATCTGCAAATTTAATGTACAGCATGGGTGGTGATGGATGTGTAGATCAATATGATTCTGATCGTCATTACACAACATAGACACATATCAAATCATCACATTATACACCTTGAATATGTACAATCTTTTCTTGTCATTTGGACTTTATAAAATAACTAAGAGATCTCAGCTAATTCCAAGATTAGGTTACATAGAACACAACAGAAATAAAACTATACAAATTGTGATAAATTTCTACTTATCTTAAATTCAATAGCTAAAAGTATCATATAACTAAATTTACTATATTTTTAAAAGGATACTTATAAAAGAAAACAATTAAACTTATATTAAAAAAATAATTATGCATTTCAAACCATTTTCATATATATTATCTCTTTTGAGGGGGATATTGAATACCAGGAATTGAACCCAGGACAACATCCTCACCCCTTTTTTATATTTTTATTTAGAGACAGGATCTCACTGAGTTGCTTAGGGCCCCAGTAAGTTGCTGATACTGGCTTTGAACTTGTGATCCTCCTGCCTCAGCCTCCACAGCTGCTGGGATAATAGGCATGCACCACCATGCCCAGCTATTTTCTTTTTTGATCCTTACAACTACTAGGAGTAGAAACTGGACCTGGATTATAATTAAAGTAATTCATCTAATAATGAAAAATGTAAAAAGAGGCATAACAAACAAATCGTCCAAAGTTTGCATAATTTTCTTTCCGTTGTTTCACTCCACATCCTGACAGTCAAATTTTTATTGAGTAACAAATCATCACCATTTTCAAAACTTGTATATGTGCTATCTCAATCACAGAACTTTGAATTGCCTTTATTATATGTCTAGCATTAAATACACTTTATTATGCTCTGCATATTAACATCTGTATGATTTATAATGGTACATTTGTATATAGCAGTCTTAACTTTTTACACAGAACAGTGTTAAATGGAACTCATTCATATCCATGCATACATATCACTTTGCATGTTTTATGGTGACTGAAATTTGAAACTGCCTACATATAGACAGATATACTTAGCCAGAATATTTATTTAACTAGAATAAATTAAATAATATGAATTATCTTTAATATTTTTATTAGTATATGTAAGCCTAATTATCAAAATAATTATTAAATTAGAATTTTATTAAAAGAAAAAAATCCATAGGAAACTCAAATCTTGAAAACATCATTTCTCCAAAAAAGAAATGGAAATTAACTCCAAATATGTATAATTGTCACAAGTATAGTAATTAATGAAGATATGAAAATCATCAAGACTCCTATCATAAGTGAAAAGTTATTTCATATTAAATATTTAAATTATCAAAATGCAATGACAATAGATTTTTTTTCTTAACTGATGTTCTTCTTCTGCTCTGTCAATAGACAAGTGGTAACTGTGAGATACCAACTATGCAGAACCTCAGCTTTTATTTTTATTGACATTTACCAAGTCAGGGCATCTAGATGGTTCACAGGGGTGTTTTGATGTGGTTATAAAGGAGTCTATGAGTTGAATTATGGTATATCACCTCCTAGTCATGCAACTTTGATAATTGGTATTCATGGGGTTTTTCTTCACCATATGAGATCAAATGAGATTAAGAATATAAGAATACAATCATGGTACCATTGACAAATATTGCTTTATTCTGAATCTGAAAAGTACCCTTAATGCCAGAAAGTTGCTGAGATGTTCTTTACCCAAGCTGTTTTCTCCTTCCTGTACATTTTTGCTGCCCACTTGACCCCTCTGATCACAGTGCACTTCAAGTTATTACAGAGTAGGAATTCTCAACTTATGCTCTGCATATTAACATCTGTATGATTTATAATGGTACATTTGTATATATTAACCCTCTGTGGCACTAGGTAAGACTCCCATATTTTAGTACCTGGAAAGCAACAATGTACCCAGGACTCATGCCCTCCAGTCGAAAGGACATCACTGAAGGAATGACATTGACGGCAATCCATTGTTTAAATGTATTGTTCAAGTCACTTTGGTTGGATATATGATAAAAAATTTCAAATCTTGTTAACACACCATTTTCATGCTTAGGTTTATTCCACCTAAATTCTATCACAACTTCATTCTTATTGAGGTGTTTTCCACTTGGTAATATAAATATTCTGGGGTTCTCTGGTGCTGATGGAACTGAAAAACAGAGGCATAGATAGATAGGGCAGAAAAGAATATAAGGCTTTAACCACTCATAATCAGGGTATGCATATCTTAGCAGTAAAGTATTTCTCTTCTCAGGTAGTTGAGGTACATGTCTCTCATTCTTAAAGATCTTCAGGAGAGAAAATTCTATAGATTTCTTCAGGAATATATCCTGATGTTTCAGCAAGTCTTACTAACAGGAACAGCTTCCTGTGTCCAACTCAAATCCCTCCTACTACCACTAAAGCATATTTTTTTCTCATCTGTGCCCTGTGTAGATCGAAAATGACTGGTTCTCCTTACAAAATACAACACTCACTCTCATCCTCATAGAGCAATTTAGCTGGAGGTAGAAAAGTCAGTCATCAGAAAGGGAGACAGTAACTTTAAACAGTCTTCAGCCAGCTCAGGGTATAAAATACAGTATATTAGGGATCCTCTCACCCTAAACTCCCTAGGAGGCAGGAAGTTTTGGAGAAAGCTGATAACATCCCAAGGATATGACCTGGTTGCTAGAAGCAAACCAAGCAGTTCAATCTCTGAGTTCTTTAATCAAGAGAAATTCCTCTGCCTGATTTCTAAGTCCTTCTACCATAGACATCCCCTTCTTTCTCAAGACTCCTCCACGAGTTTCCACATCCACCCCAATTCCAATGGCATTGCTCCTTAATGTTCACCACTAACACCATCAACCCCAGCCATACTGTGTTTCTCATATGGGGGGCCTCTTCTTTCTCCATCTCTCAGAACCCAGCTAAAGTTTCCGATACCCAAAGACCTTTCATGGTCATATCAGTCCATGTCCTTCTACCTCTTCTAAAAATATCTGAGACAACTTGAAATGCATGAAGGTTTCACAATGTCGTCTACTCACTTACAACATTTCTACTCAGTTTTCACTGTTCTATTGCTATTATGCTAGCAGTGCATGTGTTTATCTCTACACCATCTTATGAGCTCTGTCAGAGAAAGCATCTTTTCTTATTCCTTGTCAACTCTCCACCAAATCTGGTGTAGGACTGGCACAAGTAAGTCCTTAATAACGTTGGTCAATTTGAATAATGTGTTGCTACACTGTAAATATCCTGAAGGTGAGAATCAAATCCTATCTTCTTTTTTATTGCCCCCAACATCCAGCAGATGTTGAGCCTGTCCCGCTATGGAATCCCTTGATGGATGCAATGAAGTTTATTTCCACAGAACAGTGCCACCAAATTTGATATTCCAAGACAAGAACAAGTCCAAGGTGCACAATGTTTCTGTTCTGAGACTCATGGATAAATATTGTTGAACGAATTGTAACAGTAAAAAAATGCAATGGTTAATGTATATCTATGTTTATTGAGCTCTTGCCACCTGCCAGGTCCTAGGTTAGGAAGTATATGTAAATTAAATTAATATGAAATTATTATTTGCCAACATTTGCAAAAGTGATTGAATGGAGACGTGCTGAATTTGGAATATAAATTCTGAATTAGATCCCAGCCCCTCCCATGGGCAATTACTAGGCTTCCATTTCATATAGATTATAGAATAATCTATAACACCTGTCCTATGCACCTTAGAGCTGTGTGAGGATCAGATGAAATGATCTTTCTGACACATAATGGTTATATAATAAACTTTTAATAAAGGAATGATACATATGAATGTGCTTTATACACTTTATAAAGTGATATATACATGCAAAGATATGGCTAGTATTCTTTTGGATACATTTGCAAAAGACAAAAAACATAATATTTAGGTATAAGTTATTCACCCATAAAATATTCTGAGTTACCATGTTTATGAACACCTGCCTTCCAAGAAATTATCTTTTAAATGTTCATTTTAAATGAACTTTTAAATGTTCATTTTCCTAAGGAAAATTTTCAGAAATTGCCTGAAACTATTTGTGATTTTGCATCTTGTGCATCACTACAACAAGGTGAAACAGTCTTTAAGAAATCTTTGAAATTTACTTCTTCTGGAATAAACTATACAGATTTATTTAATAATGCTACTCTAATCTCCAAAAATTTATTTGAAGGGTAGTGAATCTGAATATATCTACAAAACTGAAAGTTATTTTAAAATATTATTAACTACCCATTCCAAACAATGGGAACTGAGATTCTGCCTTTTTTTTTAAAGAGAGATTTTTACCCCTATACCTGTTTCAGGTGCTCGAAGTAATAGAGATGTTTTGAGGCCCTTTCCCCAGTAGGTATAAGGAGTGACTGAAAGATTAAATAAGGCATAAGGCTCCAGCCCTTCCACAGTAAATACAGGTAAAGGAAGTTGTTCACTAGCCAGGAACTAAAATAAAACACACAAAAAACATTTTCTCAGGGGAAGAATTAGAAAATTTTTCATTCCTAATTAACTAAAATCTCAAAACTTCAGTTGACATGTGAAGTCAACACTTGCAATTTTGGAAATGTTCATTTTAGTAAATCCTATATTTTACTATATATTCCAGTTAAAGTGTATCCAACATAACAGTTAACACAAAATGAGCAGAGAATGGCTATAAACCAATGCTCTCAGGAATAACCCCAATAACCAAATGCTATGGAAGTAACAGGAAATGGGCTTAATTGACAAAGTACATATGGGTTTGTATAGGGGCTGATGCTGATGGTACAGACTGTTTGGAAAATTGAACTTACTAGAACCAACAACATACCTTTGAATGAGCACTGAATTCCACACTGTAGAAGACGATGCCCCAATCCAAAGGAGGAGGTGCTTCCCATAAGATTTGAAAATTTGAAGCATTTCCTTCAATCCTAAATGAAGACTCTTGAACAGAATCTGGGATAACCTTAGGGGTAGAGGAAAAGTTCCCTTTGGGATGGAGAAAGAAAGGAAGGGAGAAAGGACTTAAGATGATCAATCTATATAGAATCATAGAAAATCAATAGAAATTACTATTCATTAGAACTAAAACAAAATTTTTTCTTTAATATATCTGAAAACTATCTTTTTTGTGACTTTTTTAGACTGAAAAATTTGGATTCAAATTAAACAGACTACAAATAACCCAACAGAAATTAACTCATACCTAAATGTTCATTTAACAGAAGGTATGGGAATAAAGGGTACACAGATATAATAAAATAAAGTACCTGGCAGAGGCTTGAGAGATGTCTGAATAATTGTGAACTGATTAAATTTAGCTGGCTCTGAAACAGACACACTGGTTCTCTGACCTATTTCCTGAGCTGTGATAATCCTAAAGCCATTGATCCAGAAGAGTCGACCACTATAGTACATGAGTGCATTCTGGGAAATTTCAGAAGTACTCCAGGCGGCAAATTCTGTGATGATGACATCCTCAGTCCTGCTGAAACAATGCAAATTAGTGCATGCATCTGCAGTAGAGGAAGAGCTGGTACATGCAAGTACTCATGAAAATAAGTGATAAATACATGTGTATAGGAAAATATAGGGGACATAGTTTGCAACAATAATTGGCATTACTCTTACTTCCCTATTAAAGAGATTTTTTGCATTTTTCTTAAAGTAACAGACATAAGCCAATTTTTCTAGGTTTTTTCTTGTTAATGTGATATTGCATTAGCAGGATCATTTACACAGTTGCAGCCTTTGACAAATGCTTGTGATTTTGGTGATACTCTACATCAAAGGTGCAACTTGAATTCCCATAACTTTATTATCACAGAGATCACATATTTGGTTTATTCCATGTACTCCTACAACATTTGCATTAACAAAAGAAAGACACGAGGCAAGGTACTGATAGAACTAGAAAATACTGATTTAAAAAAAAAAAGTGGAACCAGTGAAAACCAATGCATCAAGGATAAACTTGCCATCTGTACAAAAGGCTCAAAAAGCACTGACAGATGTGAGGCAGAGGGTTTTGAGACCAAACAAGAACAATGCAATAGACCAGTGCTATAGATAGTACAAGCTAGATTTCAGCTATAATTTTACCTAAAAGAAAACAAAGGAAAGCCTATTATGTCTGAGAGATTTGTAAAGAAAAAAAAAAAAGGAGATTACCAAAGACCAAGAATTTTCAGGAATTTATCCAGAATTGACAAGAATGACAGTTCCTGACTGTGGTAGCCATGGGAACTCCAGGCCATACAGACATAGAATAGCTCTGCATGTCACAAACTTTGCCAAGACCCTGTGTGGTCATTCTTCCTGTCTATCCATCAGCTTCGCTCAAGAAACCACTTCATATCTAATCTGGTTCACATGACACCAAGCAGGAGTGGCCTACATGCCCTCATGATTATACCCATTCCTGAATATACCATGTCCCACTGTGGATTAACAAATTTGCAGTGTAGCCAATACTTCAAAGCCAAACAGAACTGTGTGGAATCCCCAGTTCAACCAATTATTAGATATGCAACTTCAGGCAAATAATTTAAACTCTCATTTGACCATGTATAAAATGTAGATATAATAATACCAAAAAATCTATATATGGAAGAAAGTGATCTCATTTTATCATGACTTTCTCAAGAAATAAAAAGACAGATTAAAACAATTCTATGACCCTCACCACCCCATCATGAACAGACATGCCCAACAAGATGAACAGTGAAAACCAATTCAGAAGGCACTGTCCACTGAATGGCTTCTGCTCATTGATTCAGACCTCTCCCCTACTCTTAGTCATCTTATTTACTTGTCACTCATTAGCCCGTGTGATCCTTCTGTTTTGTGAACATTTTTTCCTGTTCACAAATATCTGTTTCTTCAGTGATGGTTATCGGCTTCTATGGTTTAGTCAAAACACTCCTTTTCCAAATAAGGAATTCAAAGAGACTATTGTTCAACTTGTTTGTAGATTTTCTTCTCAATGAGAGAGAAATTAATAATGACTTCTACTTTAAAAATCTGTATGGTTGTTTATAAACTTATGCCTGTTGCCTAGTATTCCATGTAAACTATCTCAGAGATTCTCAGTGTTTGGGAGTGGTGAATTGATTTTTAAAAAATGATTGTGTAAATCATTTTAAAGTGTTGACATTCTCCTCTACAAAATTATAAAATATGGCATTTGAAATCAAAATAATTTTTTAACTTTTTTTGAGAATTTCACAATTTATCCTTGAGAAAACAAAATTACCTTGGAACATCATAGCTGGGAACTGTGAATCTTATGATAAAGATGTATATTCACAATATCATTCCTATGGTCCTTTTTCTGGCAAGACACTATTTTTCCAATCCTACAGAGGTGTGAAGGCTTTGGATTTGCACCCCTTTGTCCAATTTTGCATTTTATTTTGTTGACCTTCTAGAAGAGATATACAAAACCGAATTCCAGGTGGAAGAACACTCACCAAGCAGTATGCACTTGGTCTGAGAAAGCTTCTGGACCACCCACAGGGCTGCTGCAGCCTTCAGGGGGAAGGTGTTTAGTCAGCCTGGCTCTCAGGTTTTGTTATGTTTCAACATTGTTAAAACAGTCGCTAGGATAGAGAATTTTCCTGCAGGACAAGACCAAATCCCTTAGTTCACTGACTTGGATTGTTCCTTACTTCCAGGTGAAGACTCCTCCCTCATGTGAAATTCTCCTACACATCTGGGTTAGCCCCCAAAATTCTTAATATCTAGAGTTCTGCATAACTTCAACACAATTACCTTACTTTCAGGAGGTCAGTACCCCAAATGCTTCATTCCTTACCAAGTTAACTTGAATCAAAACTTAGCTAAAAATAAAATCACAACATAGCATTTGCACCATAAAGCCTTCCATAAAGCATAAGATGTATGAGGCAAGTATTCTACTGAGAGTTGGTTCATTCAATAAATGTTGTGTGTATTTAGTTCTATATTAGCCATTAGGAATACAGTGGTAAATAAGACAAATACAATCGCTGCATTTATAGAATATTCAGCCCTGATGAATAGGCTAATAATTTTCAAATAACTACATCATTGAATGGATTGTAAGAGAAAAATTAAAGTGAGTTCCTTAACAAGGAGATCTAACTGGGCCTGGACAGTCAGAGAAAGCCTCCCTTAGGAAACAATGTTTGAGCCAAGTCGTGCAGACCGAACATGAACTACCTAGGGGAATTAGGCTGGGGGAACAGTTCAGTCAGAGGGAATAGCAAAGATGTAGGCTCCTCTGAAGCAGTATAATCTGCCCTGACATAGCTAAATATATCTGAACTCTCATGACAAGTGCACCCTTTTCAACTTCTAACTCAGAAATGTTGTTACACTATTTATAGGTTTATTCTTTTATAAACTAAAGGGAATGGTTGTACATAGGAGGGGGAAGAGCAACTTGGAGGGAAACTCCATTAAAATTCACAAGTGCAGATGTGATGGATAACAGCTGATCATCTTTACTCCCTTCCTGACCATCCCTCTAATTAACCATGTGACATCAGGCAAATGTATGAATGTCCTAGACATCAGCATCTTTATCTATGAAAAAAAAAATCATCCCTAAATTTTCCCTCTAAATGTTTTATGTGTTATATTTTAATTCCAAATGTGTAGCTATTCAGGTAAAGTTAAAAAGTTGACTGTTTAAGCTAAAATAACAAAAGTATATGTATTTTATAGTATGCATAGGATTAAAATATATGATACTAAAAACACAAAATGTGGGAGGATAATAATTGAATATATATAGTCATAAAGTTTCCAAATTATTCATGAATAAAATTTTTGAATATTCACTTAATAAGTTGAAGATTCATAATGTAAAAATGCTAAAAATGTGCATTTTAATTCTAACACAATGTGAAAATAAAGACATGATTAAAATTTCACTACAGGAGACAGTTTTAGAGTATTTATATATCCACAAAAGAAGCAGAAATATAGGAACAAAGAAACAAAGAGCAGAAGGTACAAATGAAAGTCAAACTTCAACACAGTAGGCTTAAATCCAAACATATTAATCATTATATTAAATGTAAATGAACCAAACACCCAATTAAAAGGCAGAAATTATAACACTGCATAAAAAGCAAAACACTATATGCTATTTACAATTCATACACTTCAAATTTAAAGACACAAATAGATTAAAAGTAAAGGAATGAAAAGAGATGTATCACATAGTCTTTAAGGAAAGCTGACCAGGCTATATTAATATCAGACAAAGTAGTCTTTATGATGCAGAATATTTCCATAAATGAATAAGTTTAGCTTACAGTAATAAAAAGAAAATTGATACTGTACAAACTAAATACAAAGCACCTGGATACATGAACTAAGCAAACCATAGGCAAATCTAGAACCACAGTGCAAGACTTTAACACCTCTTTCTCAGTGATAGATAATACAGACAGATAAAAATATTTTAATGACACTATTAATGAACTTCACCTACTTGACATTTATAGACCACTGCAGAAAGTAAAGCAAAGAAAACATTCTTCTCTAGTTCACATAGAATATTCAGCATAATATATCACATGCTAGTACATAAAATACTTCAATAAATGTAAAAGGATTAAAATTAAACAGAACATGTTTTTTGGTCACAATGGTGTTAAATAAAAATTAACATAAATAATATTCTTAAAATTACAAATACTCCAAAATTAAACAACATACATTTTTTTCTAAAACCTATGAGTAAAAAAAAAAAAAAAAAAAAAGGAACATTAGAAAATACTTTGAACTGGGGAGGGTTCAAGATAGTAAGAATAGATGAGGTTCCTTTCTTGGATGCTCCATGGTGTGAAACCAAGAAAGCAGACAGACAACTTCTCAGCAAGGTGGGTGAATAAAAAAAAGGGGGGGGGTACTTTACTGGAATTTAGTACTGGAAAGTCAAAGCAGATTTATGACTAAGGAGGTTGGATATAGTAAAATAAGGAAGAAATCTCCAGCACCAATAGCCACTGCTGTGGCTGGAGGTACCAGACTGGAAAATACTGAGCCCTGGAGGTGCACTGATATAAAAATCTCCACATTGACTGGCATCCAGCAAGAACCTAGAGCCTACCTAAGCCTTAAACCCCCCTCCAAGAGTTCTGTTTACAGCATTACCTCTCTCACACTAGCAACCCTACCTTGAGGATGGAACAAGCATCATACTCCAGCAACCCCACTTAACTGATGAGAAGGGAAACTGAGAATATTTTGAACTCCAATGGAAACAATTCTTTAACTTTTTATTTATTTATTTATTTATTTATTTTTCATTTTAGCTTAAGAGATTTTTTTTCTTCATTTTTCTTTTCTCTGCTTCATTGTGACCTTAATGGTTCATGAACATCAATACATATTTATATTTGTTTTTTGTTTCTTTTCTTATTTCTAGCATTTTTGAAACCAGTTATTTTTCATGGATCATGTTTTTGAAGACCAGGAAGTTTGATTAGAATATTTCAGTTTTGTTTTGTATTTTTGTATATTTTATTTTTAATTTTTAAAATTTTTATTTCATATATTTTTCTCTCATTTATCTGTTTTTATTTAATCTCTTTCTAACTTTTCTTCTGTTAACAGGCAATCTCTATTGTTCTCTTTCACTCTTCCTTTATTTTTCTACTTCTATCCTCTCTACTCTATTCTCATAATCATCACTTCTGTTATCATCACTTCTGTTATCTCCCAGTCAACCACTTGAAATTATAAATTTGCAAACTTATTGTTTTTACTATAGGCAATAACTGATCATACCATTTCTGTTTATTGTGACCATTGTAGATATCATAGCAGGAACTATTTGGTTTAATGCTATATAATGTTTGCATTGGTTATTATTATTTGTCTTCCCCTAAACAGTGAGGTACTGGAAACCTTCAGGGACAATATAAGTCCAAACTCTAGTGCATCAGTTCCATACCATTAGATGGATAGACACAAAAACAACATGAAAAAGCAAGGAAAAAAATAGCCTCAAACAAAACAAGATACTTCAAAAACAGAATCCATCACCATCACAGTGGAAAAAAATGTCAGAGAAGGACTTTAAAATGTACATAGTTAAAATAATCTGTGAGGTAAAGGACAATGTAAGGATTGATATTAGAGACAAAATACAGAAAGTGAAACATCACTTCAATAAAGAGATAGAGATTCTGAAAAAAAAAAATCAAGCTGAAATCTGTTAGAGTCTGTAAATAAGTCAGGATGGCGCCTGACAAAATGCCAGAGGGAGTGGTTTGTGAAGTAACGCCAGTGAGCCATTAAGTGTGGAGATTCCTTATTGGTTGACTGCTGTATCTAGTTTATGTTAATTAAGATAAGCTGTGTGGAATGTATAAATACCCCTCCTGTCCTACAATAAACAGCTCCCACTCCTGCTGTATCAAGGTACACAAGTTGTTCATCACCCCCCAGTTATTTTGCTGCAGCCGGACTGAAGCAGAAATCCTTTAAATGAAAGACTTAATATATCAAATTAAAAATCAAGGAAAATGTCACCAACAGACTAGACCACTTGGAAGACACAGTTTAGGCAATGAAGACAAAATATATAATCTTGAAAATAAAGTTGACCATGGATAAAAGATGTTAAGAGACCATAAACAGAACTTCTAAGAAATATTGGATAGCATGAAAAGACTAAATATAAAATTTATTGGAGTAGATGAAGCCCCAAAGATACAAACCAAACAAATGCATAATCTTTTCAATGAAATAATATCAGAAAATTTCCCAAATCTGAAGAATAAAATGGAATCAGGTACAGGAGGCTTACAGGACACCAAATGTACAAAATTACAACAGACCCACACCAAGGCACACTATTATGAAAATGCCCACAAACACAAAATAAGGATAGAATTTTAAAGGATTCCAGAGACAAACAAGAGAGAAACCAATCAGGATCTCAGCTGATTTCTCAGCCCAGACACTCAAAGCTAGAAAGTCTTGGATTAATATATATAAAGTTCTGAAAGAAAATGGTTGCCAGTCACAAATACTATACCCAGCAACATTAAGCTTCAGAATTGACAATGAAATAAAAACTTTCCACACAAAAAAAGAAAGTTGAAAGAATTCACAATGAGAAAGCCTGCTCTACAAAACATATTCAAGAAGAAATGAAAAATAAAAATGAAAACCATCAAAAGGAGGAACTACACTAGAAGAAAAGTCAATCAAAGGAGAAAATAATTCAAACTAAAAACTAGAAATAAATCAAAATGACAGGGAATAAAATTCATATCTCAATAATAACATTGAATGTAAATGGCCTAAACTCACCAATTGAAAGACACAGACTGGTGGATTGGATTAAAAAACAAGATCCAAGAATATGCTTCCTACAAAAGACTCACCTTATAGACAAAGACATCCACAAACTGAAGGTAAAAAGATGGGGGGGAAAAAAAAACCAAGTCATTCTCATGAATCCTGTAAACAACGAAGGGTATCTGTATTATTATCAAATAAAGTGAACTTCAAGCCAAAGTTAA